AAAAAAAAAAAAAAAACCTCCATCTGAAAGCCAATACCTTGCATTAAGTGATTTTGACTGCCCCCCTCTTTTTTTTCTTTTTTTCTTTTTTGCTGTTGTTCCAGGTCAACAAGACATTCCAAGAGCTAGGTGTCTTCCATGAACTTGGAGGCATGTGGGAAGAGATTAAACCAAAAATAAAAACTTTCATGGAAGAAAACCAGGAGATGGATCTTATTCGGGTCAGTATGCCATAATTCTTTTTCTCTCTCTGATAATAAATTTTACAAGAGGTTTGTTTATTTTAGTATCAACAATTTGGCCTTGAGTGTTTCTGCCCATGTTGGAGTATAGTCGGGGTGGGCTGCTGGGGATTTGCATGGGTTCAGGCAATCAACTAGTTAGGATTCTGCCCAGTTTGGCGAACCCCCAAATGCCACCCCTGCCTGGCCCCTCCGCCCTGCCCCTTCGATCCCACCCTACCCCTCTCAGGAGTTTCCACACAGCCCTCTCATCATGCTAGGTAAGTGCAGGGCCCATGTGGAGGCTTGGGAAGGGGGTGGGTGGGAATCAGGCCTACTGGAGGTTCTGGAAGTCTGGAAACGGGAAGTAGTTTTCACCCTCCCGGAGGCTCGAAGAAAACCTCTGGAGCCTGGGGAGGGCAAAAACCACCACCACCACGGTGCAGGAGGCTGACTAGGCCACACCCACCATGGCCACGCTCACCCAGCAATGGGGCAGTAAACCCGTTGCTGAAATTTTTGAAGCCCAGCTGAGTATAGTAGCTGCCAAACCTCCTTTGTCTGGAGTTTTCTTGCCTGGGCAATATGATGGTATCCTCGGACAGAGAAGAAAGGTGCAATGCTATATAGACAGTGCCTCTCCCTGCTGTGTTGCCATGTGTCGAATGGGGTGATTTGTTGGACATCAGGCAGATTCTGACTGGTCCATAAATCAGGCTATTCTGCATGAAGAACATCTGCCGAGGATGTGGCTGAGAAGTCTGCAAAATGAGGGGTATTCAAGCCTCACTTTCTGTTATGCTGAGTGGAGCTTCAAATACATTTCGCTAGGGAACACTTACTCTGATATTACTTCCCAAACTCTGTACGGCGGGCAACAAGCCCAGGCCTCTCTTTTGCATTCCCCAGCTTCCAAACTGTAGCAGGACGTTTAATTAGCTACATGGGAATCGTACCAGTGAATAATTTGAAGTTTCATTCTTTGGATATTACTAAACGGCTTTCATTCCATTTCATTTTCATGAGCGTTCTGTCTAGTATTGGAAACTCTGTGTTTTCCAATGGCCAGGCTGCCAGACTCTGATCTGAGATTTTGGGTTCATATGTCTTCCTTGTGTGAAGCTTTCTTGGAAAAGATAAAAATAATAATATCGCTTTGGAGTTTCTAAAAGACGTATGTTTCACTGATTAAAAGTACCTTTCCCAAGGATCTAAGAGTTTATCTAAAACAGATGGACAATGTAATGGTTTTATTTAATTGTGTCACTGCTGGCTGAAGATGCTTAGAATCCTAATAGACCTGAGAAGTGCCAAGTTGTCAAGTTTTTCCTGACTGATGCTAGAACTAGAAACCTTGCAGGCAGAGAGTCAAGGACATAGTGTAAGATACAAGCCCTATTTATAGTAAAGGGAAGGGTCAGTTTTTCTGTTGTTTCTCCAGTCTGTGTGATGTAATGGGGTGAGAGTTTTACACATAAGGGGGGAAAGAGCAGTTACCAGCTGTGCTCTGAATTGTAACTAAATAGTCTGGTCTTGGGGACGCAGTGGCTCAATGGCTAAGACGCTAAGCTTGTCGCTCAGGAAGGTCAGCAGTTCGGTGGTTTGAATCCCTAGTGCCGCATAACAGAGTGAGCACCAGTTACTTGCCCCAGTTTCTGCCAACCTAGCAGTTTGAAAGCAAGTAAAAAGGAAAGTAGAAAAATAGATACCACCTTTGGTGGGAAAGTAACAGCGTGCCGTGCTCCTTTGGCATTTAGTCATGCCAGTCACATGACCACGGAGGCAACTTCGGACAGCGCTGGCTCTTTGGCTTTGAAACGGAGATGAGCACCGCCCCTTAGAGTCGGGAATGACTAACACATATGTATGAGGGGAACCTTTACCTTTACCTTACCTAGTCTTGAATCTAACCTTAACACTAGTTGAGTGTTAAGATGAGCTTGAAGTAAAAGATATTTATATAGAGTGTAAAAAAAATGGTGAGAGGAATCCAGGCACGTGAGTAGAACAATGTGCTATTGGCAAAATGTGGACAGCATTTTCCAGGAAACCTCTCTCTGGCTGTCTCTTTCCAGAAAATTGGCAGTGACACAAAAGTCAATGGGGGAATTGTGATAGATGCTTAG